AAACAACAGATTGGAGGGAACCTCTCGTGGATATTTAGAATTTAATTGAGACACATAACAAACAATAAAACATTTCAACTTTTATATCTGCTTAGATCGCTAGACTTAGCTGATTGATTTTATAACTATAAAACTGTGAAAATTATAGATGCATCTAATTCCCCATTCATTTTCATGAAATCTTGAAACTGCTCAATGGATCAAAGAAAGAAAAATAGTGTCTGCTCAATTTCTATTAAGCAGCTTGAAGACAATGTACATCAAAATGTACCATAAAGATATATGTATAATAATTCAGATTATCAACATCTGAATTGTCCATTATATTTTTCAATGTTTGTATGTACAAATATATAACTATAACTTGAAATATATAAAAAGTCATCGTATTTTGATTCTATGATTTTTTTTTTTATTGTTCGTTAAAAAATTCATTAACACCTATGTAACTTGAAAGATTTCATGTGCACATCTTATCAAATTCGCACCAAACTCTATCCCTTTGAAAGTCCTATAAAATCTATTTGATAAGGTCAATATAAGTCCATATTTGGGTTCTTCGACACCAGAATACATGCTTACATCTGTGATTATGGATATTGTAAATCATAGGCTTTTTAATCCGCCACGTTTTCAGAAAGATAATACTGCTCTCCAGCCTTGTATTCTACCAAATTTCAAGTTGAACTCCTCACGTTGTATTTCTTATAAACATACATTAACTATATTGCTTCCAAACTTCTTAATTACAAAAAAACAACAACAACAAACAACAACAACAAAAAAAAAACAAAAACAAAAAAAAAACAACAACAAAGAAACAAACAAACTCTACAGAAGAAAACACTTGCTTTTGCCTTCAACTCCACATTTCGATATATTTACGACGAATCATCAATTAGTAATAGTTACTTCCATTCATATTTCGACTCGATATATCTTAGCTAGTGAGCTTGATATAATAGATACCACAGAGTCTGCCACATATGTTTCATATTTAGATATTTTACTAGAAAAAGACGTTAATGGTAACCTAAAACAAAGCTTTATAATAACGTGATGACTTCAACTTTTCAATCGTCAACTACCTTTACTTATGTAGCAACATACATTTATCACCTGCATTTGGGGGTTAGGTCTCTCAGTTGATTCGATACGCAAGAGCATGCTCTACATTTGCACAGTTTAAAACGATACGAGACAGTATATTAACAAACAAGTTGATAAAACAAGGATATCAACAGTCCTGTTTGAAGTCATCATGTCGCAGATTTTATGATCGATACAGTGACCTTGTCGGCAATTACAACCTATCATTGAGTCCAATGCTGACGAACGTTTTTCACACTAATTGTTAGGCCATTATTTAAACACTTAACTATCTACGGATTTTTCCTTTCCTTTTTTACGATCATGATAAGAAGCACACGGCGGGTGTGACCGGTCGGCAGGTGATGCTCACTCCTTCTACTAAAAATGAATTGAACATGTATATGGGAAGGTTGGTTTTACTTTCAATGACAAGGTTAAAAGAAAGTTGTTTTTATATTTGCCTTTGTCTATCTCTTCTTTGTTAATTGACCCATCTCTATGTTATTTATTCAAAGATGTCTTGAAAATTGTAGTTGCTTTTAACTAATATTTAAGAAAAAATTGTACTTTGAGTTTAAAAAGAATCAAGACATTTTTTGAGAATGTTGTAGTTTTATACTCTGCTTTAATGCACTTTTCACAATACACAATCGCAAAATGGTTTGTAAAGAATGGGCAATGAACCAAATTGCCATGTTCAAAATAGTTATTTTTTTTATTTTTTTTTTTTTACACAACTTTACTTAAAAAAAAACTTAATTTTACCAAATATAAGATATCCATAACAAATTAAATTAAGGAGAATGAAAGCCAGAATTAAGATTTTCTTAACGTTACATTGCAGTTACGGTAAATAAAAGCTCAGAGTAAAAACACTGAAACTTAACAATATCGCATCTTTTCGTTCTAAATGAATACAAAAATAATCAATTTCATGTTAAAAAAAACGCTTTTAGGAATGGAAAAAAACATTACAAGTTGAACTTTGATACTTTGATGAACTGTTTTTGAAACTGGCGAAAATTATTCTTATACTTATGTAAAGTATAGTTTACTAAATTAACATTTTTAGGATTAGCTTGATATAAAATAGTACAAGTAGTGCATGCATGGTACGTGTCTGAACTAAATTCCTTCCAATATTATAGTGCACGTTTGTCCTTCAAATCCCTGCATTTGTTTTCTTATCAAATTAAAAAAATCTTAAGATTTAATTTGGATTTCTTTTTTAATTCTTCTCTAAGACTTGAACAGACACTATTTAAACCTGCATAATGACGACACATACCATAGTTGTGACGTGATTCCAATTGTCTTGCTTTCTAAAGTTTTGCAAATCAGTCCAATAACGTATCAACGCTCTGGAATAAATCTGCCATTTTTTAAAAAAAATCTTCATGAAATGTTGAAGCATTAATATTGCATTGACCATATCGTAGTTTTGTGTGAACAATTGTAAGACCGTTTTCGGCCAGACCGATGGCGGGTATATTTATTTTTGATATTCAGTCTAAAATCTTTTCATTTCGTATCTTTATGTCAATACCTTTTTAATGATTCATATGGATATATTCTCTGAATTTCTTGACATAAACATTTAAAGACATACGCAACGTAGTTCCGAACTTTATTTTCTAATTTTCTGTAAATTAAGATTTCAAATAAGCCAATATTATGATACTGAACACGCGATCTATGACAAATTTAGTAGAAATTTCTATTGAACTTATGTAATTTGTAATTTTTTACCGCACAAAACAGAAGGATTTCATAATTTTATATTTTTTAAAATTCCTAGTAATAAATGCTAATTTTTTTTGGTCTACGAACATTTAATGGTACATGTACTATGATTTTAAATTCATAATATGCTGAAAAATAACTAGTAAGTTACAATTTTATAAAGTAGTTGTATTTGTGCTTAACTGGCAACTAAACGGATATTAATGACAAAAATTGTATGTACAGGTTTGTGACGTCATAAAGAAGTGGAAGACGGGATAATATATTGTATCATCATATACACAAAAAGTAGTTTCCTGACATTTACAGTGTGGGCCGATATGGACCTGTAAATACGTGGGTTCCCTTTGTACATTCTATTTAGAAATATATCAAAATACTGTAGACGCTTATTTACACTATGTTCGCGTTTAATATCAGATTTTCCGCGAAAATGTGTCGCAGCCTACTTAAAGTGCACTTAGACATACAACGACAATGCAAGAAACCCGTATCATTTTCTACCGGCAGTTTGAAAAAAAAATTAAAATTGTGAAAATATGACCTTGCAGGAAAAGCAGAACTGTTACAGTATTTTTGAATGTTATAATTTAACATTTTATATGGAACCGTATTGACTTCATATTCATTTCTTATTGGGATATCAGTGTTGTTTTGCTTTTTAAATCATTGAAACATGCAAAAATATTCCTGTTTAATTTTTTGTATAAAGTGCAATGGTACGGAGGCCATAATATTAATGTAATGATATTAAAAATGTATCAATACCTTGGATACGTGCTTATATTTGCGTCAGACTGAAAAGTCAAGGAGTGACATAAACTCTATATTTCACCCCAGAACAAGAGTTAGTAGACGTAAATTTCACCGAATTTAGTTGCCTCAAACAATGCTTCCTACGATCGAAAGGGTAAAAAAGGTTCAGCTTACACCATCTCGTTCTTTGTCAGTAACGCCTGAAAACCCAAGAAGTGTTCTTATACCAGTGAATGTTAACATTTCCGCAAAATTTCTTTAATCTAAAATGTTTTTCAATTGATAAAGTATAAAATTTATGATGAGACAAAAAGATAGTCAGGAACTAAGAATAAACAAAAGTTAAATTCAATTTCTGGATATTTTAATTTCTATTTAATAAAGATTTCAAAAGTTTGAATAGTATTCAAATACAAATACATGTTCCCATTCGGATTTTACTTTTAAAGCTGTTTCTCGATATTTTCAAGTTATGATCTTTAAATTTATTCTCAGTATATGGTCATGAGACCTCATACATGTACTTTTCACCCAGTTAGATTTCATGTGAGGAAAGCGCTTTAGAAAAGCATATGAATGATCGAAATATATTAGGTCATATGTTAATGAAAGCATCAAACTAATAAACTTACGAGAGGAACTCTTCTTGCCAGAGAGGAATATTTCTTGTTAAGGACTTGATGAAAGAGGAATCCCACTCAAAATAAGTTTAAAGCGTTTTACTATACTGACGTATATTATAACTAAGAGTTTTGGATACCACATTTTATTATCCGAGTTATAGTTTTGTGGAAATTATCGGCGTTGGAGAAATCGCCAACCAATCATACAGCAGGAAATCAAAGTTGGCATTATAAGCTAAATGAACCTCTCTGAGGGTGGTAAGTATATTCTAATGTAACTGGTTTTGAAAATGCATTTCGATCGGCTAATACACTGCTGATGTTTTAGGTAGTAAAGTGAGCATTAACAAGGGTGAAAGCAACCAATTGTGACGTCATAATTGAGCGACACAAAACACAATGCTTCATGACGTTTTCCATACAAAAAAAACTCAACAAAATAAGACGTAAACATCATCATCAACAACAAAAATCAATTACATTAGAATGGGAATAATTATTCTCCCATTTGTGATTTGCAACCATTAATACTTATTTAACGGTTGCAAACATTCTAAACTCATTTTGCGACAGCTTAGTCAGCATTAATGACCTCAAATAATAAATGAAAAGATAGTTATTCCCAAAATTTACTCCGGGGTGTGCTTTTATTATACCTGAGCATTTTTAGACTATAAAAAGTAGTTATTTTCCCATCTTAACTTTAAATCGGGGACATTTCAATAGAAGGATAATAGTCACATCAAATAAGAAATATTTTTAAATATGAAATGAAATGTTTGTAATTTTAACAATGTTTTCTTTTCAGTGGGGTAAATGGAAGTTTTACATTTGACAACAACGACCTGCTTCGTTGACAGCCCTCTGAGTAATTGTAGGCTCGTTATCGCGCATGCTACAGATGTACTGGTGCCTTGCTTTTCCACTTTTGATAGTAAAGATTTGGTCATTTTCGTCATCGTAAATAGTTATTGAAGCATCACTCCAAATTATCGGATTTGTTTTCTGAATAAAATCAATGCATGCTTGGAAAAGTCGTCGCAAATCACTCTGTTCACCAATGCCCTCATTCCCAACGTGTCTGACAACCATTTTTCCGAGAGCTCTCTTGGTAATCATTTCTACTTCATTGACTTCTTCCTAAACATAAAAAGTTCTGGTCAATTATAGACGATGAACAATTCTGTTTTACTAGAATTCAGAACTTCCAAAACTTGTTACAAGTTAATATCACATGTATTTCCATAAAACAATTTGGGGGGGGGGGTTATAAATTATGCCTTTATCGTATTTTCACTAAGCTGGTGTTGCTTAACATAATAAATCCAATTAAAAACTATAATTTAGTGACATACGTGCACCCGTTATTGAAAATATATATTTACGTGATATTTCTGAATATCCATTTCCAGTTTCGCCATCGCATTTCGGACATCTTCATTATAACTTTGAGATGAACCCTAAAAGAAATAATAATAATGATAATAATAATAATAATAATAATAACTAGATGAGATCTCGTTGCGAGCAACGAGTGGGTCTTCCGTGCGATTTCTGATTAGATGAGATAAGAATTTGACTGAGATTTTCGTTCGAATATAATGATATAAATAAATTGTTTAGACGAACAATTTTGCTTTAATAATGTTTAACAAAATATTGATCATTAAAGGGTTATAGATTAAAGACTTTTGCCTCTTCTTGGCCCCTAATGTGAGAGGTCAGCCCCTTTTTCTTGATATCATCTTAAAGCTCTCATGATTTTGAACACTTTTTGTTCAACAACTATTCAGAAATTCTTTTTTGTTTTCAGGATATATGCAAAAGAAATATTAAGGGCCGGCCCTTCAAGTCCTAAATGGGGACGTCTAGCAAAAATTCAAAGAGTGCATATTGTTCAGAATATTATTTTGAACGTCTTTTGTTCAATACTGTTTATCAAAATATTCTTCCTTTTCGAGACATATTGCACCAAAGATTATGCAATCTGGCCCCCTAAAGACCCCTTATTGCGTAATATATGATATCAACATCATGACATTTAGATAAAGTGTGTGAAGAAGAACTATTTCACCTCAATAATATATTACAAAATATTGATCATTAAAGAGTTATTGATTGTATACTTTCGGCCCCTCTCGGCCCCTTATTTAAGGGGTCAGACCCTTTTCCTTGATATCACCTTAAAGCTCTCATGATTTTTTACACTTTTTGTTCAACAACTAGTCAGAAATACTTTTTCGTTTCTGAGATATTCGCGGCCCTTCAACTCCTTAATGGGGACGTTTAGCAAAAAATGAAAGGTTGCATCCTGTTTAGAACATTATTTTGGACATCTTTTGTTCAATATTGCTTATTAAAATATTTCCCACTTTTGATATATAAAGCGTCAAATATTTAGCATTCTGGCCCCTTATGGCCCCTAGTTATGTAATATATGATGTGAATATCATAATATATAGTTGTAAATTGTTGAGATAAACATTTTTGCTTCAGTAATGCATTACAAAATATTGATCTTTAAAGAATTATATTTCAAAAACATTCGGCCCCTCTCAGCCCCTATTGTGAGGGTCCAGCCCCTTTTTCTTCATATCACTTTAAAGCTCTTGTGATTTTGAACACTTTTTGTTCAACAACTAGTCAGAAATTCTTTTTCGTTTCTGAGATATTTGCAAAATAAGTACTTAGGGGCCGGCCCATCAACTCCTTATTGGGGACGTTTAGCAAAAAATGAAAGGTTGCATCTTATTTAGAACATTATTTTGAACATCTTTTGTTCAATATTGCTTATCAAAATATTTCCCACTTTTGAGATATAAAGCGTCAAATATTTAGCATTCTGGTCCCTTCTGGCCCCTTATTATGTAACATATGATGTGAATATCATAATATATAGTTGTAAATTGTTGAGATAAACATTTTTGCTTCAGTAATGCATTACAAAATATTGATCGTTAAAGAGTTATTGATTTAATACTTTTGACCCCTTTTGGCCCCTAATATGACGAGTCAGCCCTTTTTTCTTGATATCATGATAAAGATCTTGTCATTCTGCACAAATATTGTTCAGTATGTTCTAACAAAATAATTATACTTTAAAAGATATTATACAAAATGTCTCAAAAATTCATTCATGATTTGTGCCCTAAATTTCGGCCCCTACCGAGCTTCCATACTATGCACTTTCGGAAAATATCTAAACCCAGGTGCATAATGGCAACATGTCCTCTATCATCACTGAAAATTTCAGCGCTCTAGCTTAAACCGTTTTTGAGTTCCATCACAGACAAGGAGGTCCTCTAAATTTTAATAAAAGGGCGATAACTTCCGACCGGAAGTGATTTTTCAAATTTTGAAATGCCGGTACAAACTTCAGATGATAAGACATAAACTCTGAAAATTTGAAGTAAATCGATCAATTCCTCTCCGAGAAATCTTCTGCACAAAATCGGTAAGGAGAAAAAAAAGAAGAAGAATAATAAAAGTGAAAAAGAAACATAAGAATAATAGAAGGGTCTTCCGCTGAAGACGGAAGACCCTAATAAAGGTAAAAAAGAAACCGAAGAATAATAGAAGGGTCTTCCGCTGAAGACGGAAGACCCTAACTAGATGCGATCTCGTTGCGAGCAATGAGTGGGTCTTCCGTCCGATTTTTGATAAGATGAGATACGAATTTGACTGAGATTTTTGTTCATAAATATATAAATAGTGAAAACGTACAATTTGCTTCAGTTATGCTTAACAAAATTTTGATCATTATGGCACCAAAAAACGCAATATTTGATGAAGATTTTAAAATATTTATAGTAGCAGATCGTGAAGATGAACATTACTGTAAAACGGTTATAGATAAAAGACTTTTAGCCCCTTTGAGCCCCTAATTCGAGGGGTCTTGATATCACATGAAAGGACTTGTAATTCTGAAGACTTTTCGTTCAACAACTATTCAGTTTCCGAGATATGCAGACTTGAAATATTTAGGGGCCGTCCATTTAAGTCCTTATAGGGACTGTTTAGGAAAAATTCAAAGGATGCACATTGTTCAGATCATCATTCTAAACAACTTTTGTTCAATATTGCTTTTCAAAATGTTTCCCCTTTTCGAGATATAAAGCTTCAAAGATTAAGCATTCTGGCCCCTTATGTCCCCTAATTACGTTATATTTGAAGAAAATTTTAAGATATATAGTTGCAGATTGTGAAGATGAACATTTTTGCTTCAATATTTAATATCAAAATGTTTAACGTTAAGGAGTTATAGATGAAAGACTTTTGGCCCCTTGAGCCCCTAATATGAGGGGTCAACCCCTTTTCCTTGATATCATATGAAAGGTCTTGTAATTCTGAAGACTTTTTGTTCAACAACTATTCAGAAGTTTCGTTTCGTTTTCGAGATATGCAGACTTGAAATATTAAGGGGCTGTCCCTTTAAGTCCTTATAGGGGCTGTTTAGGAAAAATTCAAAGGATGCGCATTGTTCAGATCATCATTCTAAACAACTTTTGTTCAATATTGCTTTTCAAAATGTTTCCCCTTTTCGAGATATAAAGCTTCAAAGATTAAGCATTCTGGCCCCTTATGGCCCCTAATTACGAAACATATGAAGTAAATATCATAATATATAGTTGTGGATTGTTAAGATAAACATTTTTGCTTCAATATTTAATATCAAAATGTTTAACGTTAAGGAGTTATAGATGAAAGACTTTTGGCCCCTCCGAGCCCCCTAATTTGAGGGGTCAGCCCCTTTTCCTTGATATCACATGAAAGGTCTTGTAATTCTGAAGACTTTTTTTTCAACAACTATTCAGAAGTTTCGTTTCGTTTTCGAGATATGTAGACTTGAAATATTAAGGGGCTGTCCCTTTAAGTCCTTATAGGGGCTGTTTAGGAAAAATTCAAAGGATGCGCATTGTTCAGATCATCATTCTAAACAACTTTTGTTCAATATTGCTTTTCAAAATGTTTCCCCTTTTCGAGATATAAAGCTTCAAAGATTAAGCATTCTGGCCCCTTATGGCCCCTAATTGCGAAACATATGAAGTAAATATCATAATATATAGTTGTGGATTGTTAAGATAAACATTTTTGCTTCAGTAATGTATTATAAAATATTGATCGTTTAAGAGGTATAGATGAAAGACTTTTGGCCCCTTTCGGTCCATAATTTGAGGGGTCAGCCCCTTTTCCTTGATATCACCTTAAAGCTCTTGTGATTTTAAACACTTTTTGTTCAATAACTGTTCAGAAATTCTTTTTCGTTTCCAAGATATTTGCAAAAGAAATATTTAGGGGCCGGCCCTTCAACTCCTTAAGGGGGACATTTAGCAAAACTTGAAAGGTTGCATATTGTTTAGAACATTATTTTGGACATCTTTTGTTCAGTATTGCTTATCAAAATATTTCCCACTTTTGAGATATAAAGCGTCAAAGATTTTGCATTCTGGCCCCTTCTGGCCCCTAATTATGTAACATATGTCGTAAATATTATAATATATAGTTGTAGACTATTAAGATAAACATTTTTGCTTCAGTAATATATAACAAAATATTGATCGTTAAAGAGTTATGGATTCAAGAATTTTGGCTCCTCTTGGCCCCTAATTTGAAGGGTCAGCCCTTTTTTCTTTATATGATATAAAAGATCATGAAATTCTACATAATTTCTATTCATATGTCTTAAGAAAATATTCATGGTTTTGAAGATATGATAAAAAATGTCTCGAAATTTCACTCCTGATTCATGTCCTAAATTTCGACCCCTACCGAGCTTCCATACTAGGCACTTCCGGAAGATTTGAAAACCCAGGTGCACAATGGCAACATGTCCTCTAGCTTTGGTAAAAATTTCAGCACTTTAGCTAAATCCGTTTTTGAGTTCCAGAGCCGACAAAGAGACCCTCTAAAATCCAATAAAGGGGCGATAACTTCCGACCGGACGTGAATTTTTCAAAATTGAAGTGCCGGTACAAACTTCAGATGGTAACACATAAACTCTGAAAAATTGGAGCAAATTGACCAAGCCATCTCCGAGAAATCTTCTGCACAAAATCGGTAAGGAAAAAAAAGAATAATAACTAGATGAGATCTCGTTGCGAGCAACGAGTGGGTCTTCCGTCCGATTTTTGGTAAGATGAGATAAGAATTTGACTGAGATTTTCGATCAAATATAATGATATAAATAAATTGTTAAGACGAACAATTTTGCTTTAATACCGTAATGTTTAACAAAATATTGATCATTAAAGGGTAATAGATTAAAGACCTTCGGCCCTTCTTGGCCCCTAATGTGAGAGGTCAGCCCCTTTTTCTTGATATCATCTTAAAGCTCTCATGATTTTGAACTCTTTTTGTTCAACAACTATTCAGAAATTCTTTTTTGTTTTCGGGATATATGCAAAAGAAATATTAAGGGTCGGCCCTTCAAGTCCTAAATGGGGACGTCTAGCAAAA